ATCCCGCTTCCGGTATCTTTTTTCGGATCTGCAGAACCGTGATCCGTGAAATTCCGCTTCGGGTATCTTTATCGGATCCACAGAACCTTGATCCGTAAAATTCTGCTTTTGGCATCTTTTTCGGTGCTGCGGGACTCGGGATATAGCATCTGTGCCAAGTGCGAAATTCTGAGATCCGCAAAATCCCGTTGCTGATATCACTTTCGGATTTGTGGAAGCGAGATCTGCGAAATCCCGCTTCTGGTATCTTGTTCGGATCTGCGGAAGTGGGATCCGCGAAATCCCGCTTTCTGTCATTTTGTTCGGAAACTGTGGGAGAGTCCAAAGCAGCAGTGCCCTGTGGGTTATTTTAGAATCCGTAAAATTCCCTGCAGCCGGATTTGCTGAAATCCGTGGTAGTACATATGCCGCCATGATTGGTATTTACTATATCTGTCAGGATCCGAGGCAACTCCAGATGCAAAAAAAACGGACTTACAACAAATCTGAGACAGAAGGTTCCTTGCAAATATCAAATTTGTATCTGTGGTTTCTCACGGATCCGGGCGTATACGGTGCCGGAATTGTCGGATCTGCAGTGCAACTTCGTATTCTAGTAAGGATTGCGGATTTCTCCGGATTTTCTACGTATCCGTCATGGTGCACGATTTCGGATCTTCAGGATTCGCTATAATCCGAGGCCATTTCGTGCAGTGATAATAATGGGCAAATTTATGTATCATTACTTGATCAAATGCAGTCACTTAAGAAGTTTAAGAAATGTAAAAACGAGAGACAGGAAAAGGGACATGTTGCCGTTGCTTAGTAAGCAGAGTGCCTTTATCAAGCACGTCGCCAGAACGTGGATGATACTGTATCAGATTCTACGTTTATTGTCCATAGTAGATCTATTTCATTATTTTGTGGTTGAGACAGTGGTGGATGTCAGACTGCGATCAGTTTAATGGATTTTTTTCAGTTGACATTGTTTTCTAAGTTTCGTTAAATAATTTTTATGTTAATTACCAGTACAGCCATACTTAACAAGCAGTCTACATCGAGACACGCGGTGCCTTCCATTTCGTCCAGGAGGGTGTGACTGTGTTGTGCACCTTTGACTGTTTGTTTTGATTGATTCCCACAGGGTGAATCCTAAGGGATGTCTGATTGGCGTCTGCTCTGTACCGTCGGGACTATATGTTGCCTTCTCATCACTTCCTGTCGCGGTGAAGGTACAGTTACTGTACTTTATACAAGAAACAAAAATAATAATAAAAAACATGTATAGTATAATATAAAATACGTAACCTAAGTAACTCACAAAATATGTGTAGAGTTGAAATTTTGATCCAACACAAAAAGTTCTCTCTCACCTAGAGCTTTTAAACAGTCACTCTGGTCTTCAACGAGGATGTGTATAAGGTCGTGGTCAAATTGTAGCAGGCGGGAGATGAAAATTGCGCCTCCGAAGAGTCATTAATTTAAGGAAGGACGAACAAACCCTTGGACTTTGTACCTTTGGACTTTGCTGAAGGCTGCTTGGAGTTGGGTGATCTAGGAGAAGTCGCTTTGTTGATGGGTTCAACTGCAATGTCCGATTTCATAATACGTTTATACAATAGAAGTAATGCACCGACAGAGGAACGACCTCATACCTTTGCCAAATGATTTTAACCTGAGGAACTGAGGAAGACCCGAGTGACTGGTCGAAAGCTCTAGGCTTTTGTGTTGGATCAAAAGTTTTAACTCTAAATATGTATTACCAACACAGATGAACTTTTATGATAACTCGCAAAATAACATTTTAGCTTTACATATTATTTTATTACCTGGTGCTCGCAGGAAGAGTATTAACCCTATCTAGACTGAGGGGGGGGGGCTAAAATCCCCGCGCCAACTTTGATGTCAGATGGCGTGGACATTTTATAAATCAATTTGGATAATAGGACGATGAAACACTTCCAACATGTAATTAAGAACGAGAGGAACATCGGCCGATATTTATTATTTAGATGAAGGCGTAATTTGCATAAAAATAGGGAAATTTCTGTAATCTTATTATGACAGCTGCCAGGAATTTGATACTTGCCGCATTTGAAAGCTATGTGAAGATGAAAATCATTTAACACAATTCAAATCAGGACCTCATTTACACAGTTTATGAGAATATGCCTTCTGTGTTAAGATAAGATGGTCATTAGGTGGATAATATCATCAACTGATAAACATTTATGCAAATAATGCACTTATTGGTATGAGGTCGTTCCTCTGTCGGTGTATTACATGACTATTGTATAAACGTGTTATGAAATCAGATATTGCAGTTACATCGTTTTTCACCGGCACTGCACGTGACAAGTGGCAACAGTAGAAAATTCAAAAATAAGGTATACGTGTGACGTAATGACGTTACCATCCCAGGAAAAATCGAGTGTTATCAATTCTCCTCCCTTTTCGCAGGAGCATGGCTGCGACAGGATACTTCATGGGTCGTGAACTCCACCGGCACACCGCGGGTCTCCAATGGAGTGACATATGATGCCGCAAAAGCCTTGGATGGAGACACTAATACCTACTGGAACGTCATGGATACCTGGCGGAACTACAACAACTGGTACATCGTGCTGGACATCGCAGCGCCTCTAAATCTGACTCGCATCGCAGCGAATTGCAACGGAGACACCAATCATGACATTGCAGCCTTCAAGTTGCAAAGTTCTCAGGTTGGGAGTCCATACAGCTGGGAGGACGTTGTGTCTGTCGATAACGTGCAGGGAGGGACGGACCAGAGGCAAGAGTTCGGCGGGTTCCAGGGAACAGCGCGGTATTGGAGGTTCGTGGTCACCCGAACCCACGGGGGCTGGCAACCTTATCTCACTGAACTCAACCTCTACAGCATCTCGCCAGGTATTTTTCTTCTTTCTTTGGTCGGGCATGTAGTCTGATTGCTCCAGTAGCCGGTTTACGTCTTACATTTGGAGCAAAACTTTATATCATTTTCTTTGTTAAAATATGGATAATAAAATAAATTAGAGACAATAACTTCATAACGCCTTTATGGGTTGTGATCAGATTTGGTATGCTTGTAAGTCTTAGGAACACAAAGGTCAAGGTGAAATATGGGCCTCCTGGTGGATGACCATGGTACTCCAGCAGAACGTCGGGTTTTTGTATCTTTTGTCCTGAACATGCATGCTATGGTCTTGACTTTTTGGTAACAGATAGCTTTTCCAATCAAAAATAAGTGCTGTCAGTTAAGTCCCTCTAGCAGCTTGTTCTGGAAGTGCCGGGGAGTTTCTGGCGAAATCTTTAATAGCCGATAAGTCCAGATAGGAACCACGTATTCTCATCATTTTGGTGTGTAGGTAGCTGAGATAGAGTTGTACATAATTAAATGCAAATTATGCAAATGACTAAATCTGCATAATAAAACATATGTAGACTGGGCTTTTTGGGGATATTTGGAACTGAAGGCTCATTCCGAGTATGTTGTACTAGTAATAATCAATCATATCAACAATTTTGATATCATTATGACGTTAGATGACATCATTAGTCTTTCATGTGATTTATTGCTTAAAGAGCAGGCTTGCACTATATAAGAACCCAATAAATTCGGCTAACGTAAACTACCAGGCCCCATTCTGTCCCTGCCTACTGTGGTGGTAACATGGACAGAGGGCTCTTGAAGACACTTATTTGTGTTTGAAACATATTGACAGCAGAGGAATTTATGTACATGTCCAGTCTGTTGTACATAAAGAAGATAGCCTCACCTAACCCAGAATATAAAGTAATTACAACGCTGTGCTGTCTTGCCAAGGTTTATCTAATACATGTAGTGTTATAGATTGGCCGGCAGCTACTTGAACAGTTCTAACAGAGATCCAGTACATGTAATAATGTATACTGCTTTCTCATACTACCAAATTGACACCGCAATTGCAACCCATATTTCTAGACTCACTTACTATCCAAGCTAGTTCAGTTCTGAGGTTGACATATAGATATCTACAATTAGACACTTTGATGAAATGTTGACAAGGCAGTTTGTAAAATTGAAATTTGACCACAAAGTTGGTTTTCCAGAAACTGAAAGTTGCAGATAGTATTTTCTTGATTATGTGACTCAGTTACAGCTATCCCGATCATTCTGCATGGTTTGATATTGTTAGTTTGAAAACCAGTATAGAAAAAACATTTGAATTTGTTCAAAAAGAGTGACAGTTATTATGCTAATCTGTCCCTGCCATTGTTTTTGGTGGCTGGACCGTCTAGGATGTTTATTAGTTTATGTGGTTATGGGGGTCAATTCACTATTCAAGCTGCTGGAGAAGCCACAGTGGGGAGTACTTCCTTATTGCGTTGCCCTGGGCATCGAATCCTCCAGTTTAAAACGGTTTTCTCTTAAAACTTAATGGTATACAACACAGGTTTAACAAAAATTGTTTATGATATTAAGGTCTACTTACTCATGTGTTGCCTATATCATAAAATGTCATAGAATGACGTCAGGCATATTTAAAGCTGTCTGCCATCTTGGATCCACAATATTGAATTTTTGAAAATCTTTTTTCTTCAAGATAAAGCCTAAAAATACAATGGAAATAGACTAGAGAGGTTTCATTTAACGTTTTCTGTAACAGAAATCGAAGTTGGGATGAAATTTTGAGAAAAATAGTTGCCGGAATTTACCTGATCTAATGATATGGTCCGCCATATCATTTAACCCTATACAGTACACCTGGGGTCCGCGGACCCCAGCACTATATAGTCAGTAATATTTTTTTTTTCTTAAGATTTTTTTCTGAAATTTCAACTAATTGTCACCCACAAAGTTGTCCCTCAATACAGTGCAGAAAACTCAGTTTCCCCCATTTCTAAAAATTTTTATATCTAATTTTCTTTTGGGGTCCGCGCGGACCCCAGCTGGCTTTCGATCGTAATGGATACACTGGCGTTCTTATACATTACTTTATTTCCGTTTTTATATGTTTTTATGCATTTATTGTATGGCCACCAAATATTCAGAGAATGGTGTACTAATAAAATTAAATTCTAAAAACTTTGGTGTAATAATGACGTCATATGACGTCAGAGGTAATTATATGGTCCGCCATCTTGGATTTTGACCATTGACGTCATCAAATTAGCATATTTTATGAATATTAAATGATTTAACTTATCTTTAATTATGTAAAATGTTATTAATGTCAGAAAGGAAGTGTTATTTAATATAAAACCCCAAAAATTTTTATGTTGAAACCAAAATTACTGATTTTTCCCCAAAAACTGCCTGTCAGAAACCTGTTGCCATGGTAACACAAAAAATCATTAACTGATTTAACTAATATGAATTTTTTTCAGATACATTTTAAAAGTGTTCACCAAATTTGATGGATCTAGCTCAAGCCGTTCAGGCGCTATTCAAGATTAAAGTTGGCGCGGGCCTCAAAAGACCACTCTGTCTGAATAGGGTTTAAAAATCGGGTATTTCTTCCTTTTGTCTTTTCCTCACTAAAAAATAGGAAAAGGTCAAAATGTATGATTTTTGTACGTAATGTGGACTCAGAGGTTCACACATCAATTTGCAAAGCAATTGAGCTGGTAGTATGTTGATAATTTCTAAAAATTAGCAAAAACTGTCTTGTAAAAA